GCGCCACCATGCCCAGCTGATTTTTTGTAGTTTTAGTAGAGATGGGGTTTCACCGTGTTGACCAGGATGGTCTCGATCTCTTGACCTCGTGATCCACCCGCCTCGGCCTCCCAAAGTGCTGGGATTACAGGCGTGAGCCACCGCGCCTGGCAGAAAGAAAACTTTTCTAAGCTGCAAAGAAGACCTCTTTTGTTTCTGGAAAATTAATAGATAAGGCCCACATTGATTTATACTGGCAAAATGTTTGACTTTTGAGATTAAAGAAAAACCCTTGCAAGCACCAAGTAACCCTTGCCAACCTTAAACAGACAAACCCAGCTTTGCATTTTCAGTGCCAGAAAACAATGAAATAAAGAAGAGTTTTGAGGGGGAAAGCTTGAGACTCAAGAATTCTATAAACAGGAAGTCACTGTAAAGGCATTCTCACCTAAGGCAAAGGCTTAGGAAATACAGCATTCCAGAGTCCTCCCAGAAATCACCAGTCATGTGAGAGATAAGTCCAAATGAGGAATAGAAAAATTAGAGCACAAAAAACTGGCAGTGACATTGAAACCAATTAAACAGAGTTGTTGGCAAAAGCCAAAAACAAGGACTGAAAAAGAATGTGGCTTTCAAAAAAAGTGTAAACAAAAGCTAGGTGTGTCGTCCTGATTAAGTGGACAAATATAAGTAGTGAGGGCGGCAGGTAGGAGGCAGAAAAGCACATTAAATTTCTCATAACATAAAGGAGAATATAAAAATGAATTATTTGTCACTGACTTTACTAATTTGTTAAATAAAAATATTTTCATTTGATTAAAGGCAGCTGCGAGAAGAATTAACACTTTTTTTTCTTTTTTTCTTTTACTCTATTTCTAATAGTAGAATTAACACTTTCTGACTTGAAAATCACCATAGACGATAAAAGCAAATGTGGGAAAATTAAGAAAACAGCAATAAATAAAAACTATAGAATACGAAGTAATAAGACCACACACATAACCTGTAACAGCAGAGACAGAATGCGTTAAATCTCAGCCAGAATAGAGGCGCTGCAGTTTTTAGCACAGACCTTGGTGCCTCCAGGCTTTTGGTAATGCCAAACTCTCGGCTATGCTGGCCTCCCCACCCTATTCAAGGCTGAGGCCTCTCAATTCAGGGACGACTCTCTCCTCCCGGAAGTCCTCCCGGGCCGCCCTAAGCAGAGTGAGTACTCCCTACAGTGAACGCTGCCCGCGCGAGCGATGCTGCCCGCGCGAGCGATGC